TTTGAAGGTGTCCAGCCTCTCAAGGTGTTCCTTCACACGGTCAACATTGATGAAGGGCAACAATTCTCCCTTACCCTGGCCGTCCCATACAGTATTGAACGGGGCCGTCCCCTGGGGCTGGTGAAAAACCAACGCAAAAAATCCGTGGAGCAGGTTGGCGTTTTCCTGGGCGTTGGATGTCAGCTGTCCCATATGGTTTAGCAGGGGTCCAATGTTGCCCTTGCTTTTCCTCTGGCTCCCTACATATCTAAAAAAGGACATTTTATTGTCCTTGATACATGTAGCCAGTTGGAGTTCAGTCACAGCCGTGGCTTTCCTGGTTTACTCCTTACAGGTCCGGACCAGAGCAGAGTACTCCTCCTTTTGGGTGGATCCAGTTCTCCATCCTTTATAGGTTTTTCATAGATTTCATAGACATTAGGGCTGGAAGGGACCTCGGAAGATCATCGAGTCCAGCCCCCCGCCCAAAGGGCAGGAAGTCAGCTGGGGTCATAGGATCCCAGCAAGATAAGCATCCAGTTTCATCTTGAAGGTGTTCAATGAAGGCGCTTGAACCACCTCCGGTGGCAGGCTGTTCCAGACCTGGGGGGCTCGGACAGTAAAGAAGTTCTTCCTTATGTCCAGCCTGAAACGATCTTGAAGTAGTTTGTGACCATTCGACCTAGTCGTCATCCCTTGGGGCGCTCTGGTGAACAAACGTTCCCCCAGATGCTGGTGGTCACCCCGATAAACTTGTAGGTGGCCATCAGATCACCCCTGAGCCTGCGCTTTTCCAGGCTAAAGAGCCCCAGGGCTCTCAGCCTGTCATCGTAGGGTCTGCTTCCCTGACCTCTGATCATGCGCGTGGCTCTTCTCTGGACTCTCTCAAGCTTCTCCACATCCTTTTTGAGTTGTGGAGCCCAAAACTGGACGCAGTACTCCAGCTGCGGCCTCACTAAGGCCGAGTACAGGGGGAGAATGACGTCCCGGGATTTGCTTGTTTTTAGACGCAGGAGGTCTGCTAGTTCGCTGCAAAGCCAAGGGGGCTGCTGTGCCCTTTTGCTGCCTTTCCTCCAAGATGGGATAGACATTGCTTGTGCTTTCAGGATCGCACCTTTGAGGAGCAACCACTCATCCTGAACTCCCCTCCCCTTCCGGTCGCGGTCCCTTAGGGTCGCCAACAGGTCTCCTGAGCTTGTCAAAGTCAGCTTTCCTGAAGTCAAGGACTTCTGTACTGCTAAATGACTCGCTAGATTTACGGAGGATGGTGAAGGTGATCAGCTCATGGTCGCTGTCTCCCAGCTTCCCTTCGATTGTTAGGTCACTGATTAAGTCACCCCGCATTGCCAGTACCAGGTCGAGCAGCGCTTTGCCTCTCATCGGTCATAGACTTCTTGAGTCAGATAGAGCTCATCCACACACGAGGAAGCTTTGCGACCGTTCGGATGTGGCCGAGCGCTCTTCCCATGAGAAGTCACGGTAGTTGAAATCTCCCATGACGACCATGCACCGGAAGTGCGAGGTCTCAGCCAGTTCCCTGGCGAATTCCTGGTCAAGCTCTTGATCCTGGCTAGGAGGTCTGTAGCAGACCCCCACCATTGTGTCCCCTGTGCCTTGTTCACCATGGATTTTGACTCAGAGAGTCTCCAATCGTCCCCCCGGGTGCCAATGTCGGCTTGCAGGGATGCGTAGCTTTCCTTGACATAGAGAGCTACACCCCGCCCCTTTTGTCTACATGTTCTCTCCTGTACAAGGTATAGCCGTCTATACCTGTGGCCCAGTCATAGGTGGAGTCCCACCAGCTCTCTGTTATCCTTTTGAGATCATAATCCTTTTGGTTTAGCAGGAGGACCAGTGTCTCCTGTTTGTTCCCCAGGCTCCTGGCATTGGTGTACAGGCACATAAGTGTTATTTGCCACTGGACAGAGCACATTACACTGGGAAGTGTTGTTGCCTTTCTTACAGATCGCTCTGGGGCTGGGGTAGGGGTAGGTTCCCTTGAGTGCCTTGGCTTGCTGAGTTTACAAAAACTGCCCAGGGGGCCAGCAGTGGCAGTACTCCCCGCATCCCCCGGCCGACTCAGTTTAAAGCCCGGTGGAGCAGGTCGGCCAGTCTGGCTGAGAAGAGCCTCCTCCCCAGCACAGTGAGGTGGAGGCCGTCTCTTCCCAGCGGCCACCCGCCCCCCCCCCCCAACACCCTCACCAAAGAGCGGGCTGTGATCGTGGAAGCCGAAGCCTTCACGATGACACCAGCACCGCAGTCTGTGGTTGACTACCTCGACCCATCTCTCCCTCCTCAGCCCATGACCCACAGCCAGGAGGAATGAGGAAGAGACCACCTGCGCCCCACAACCCCCTAAGCCCTGCTCCTGGAGCCCTGTAGTCTCTCATGACCCGGCTGGGATTGCTCCCAGCTGTGTTGTTCATGCCCACGTGGATGAGGAGCATGGGGTACTGGCCAGAGGGCTGCAGAATCTTTGGGATCCTCTCGGCCATGTCCCGGACGCGGCCCCCAGGAGGTAGCAGACCTCCCGGGCCAGGGGGTCAGAGCGGCAGATTGCGCCCTCAGTCCTACTCGGGAGGGAGTCTCCCATGATGACCACTGTGTTTTGTCTTAGGGAGAGTAGGGGTAGGTGATCCTCCCTTGCCTGCCGGAGCCGGCAGCTCTGCAGGCTCGACTGGGGCTGCAAGAGGTTCGTACCTGTTGCAAAGCCCCAGAGGGGAGGGGACCTTGGTGCGGCGGGCCTTGGGGCCATTGACCACCTTGGTCCAACCCCCTGGCTGGACAGTATGGGAGATCCCTGAGTCCTCCCTTGTCCTGGAAGGTGACTTTGGTCTACCCTCCGCCTCCAGGGGGTGAAGGGCCTGGCAGTAGGAGTCTGTCTCCCGCTTGCCATCCCTGATGGCATGTAGTCTCTGGACTGCGGCCTGGAGCTGCTTGATCTGGTGCCCCAGAGACTGCAAAGAGGAGCAAACCTGGCGAGGGGAGCTGGCCATGCTCCCGGTCCCAGGAGACTGGAAACGTGCCAGGCAGCCCCTGCAGCCGAGAGCCAGGGGCTCCCTCCGCGTGGAGCCTGGAGCCATGGGGCCATCTGGGTGGAGTCGCCTGAGGGGCGGGAGGTGCGCG